CCTTTCATAAAGATCCGATTTTTCTCCTACAAGAATCTAGCAGTGGAGTAGAGTTTCAAGTTTTACCCCTACAATTCTACCAAAATTGTGAGATTGCATTTTCATTGTTTTCATTTTAAGCTTTCCAATTTTACCCTAATCTCCCACCAATATCCAGACTTATGAATTAACTCGCTAGCTTCTGTATCAATAATAGTCTCTTGGGCGTCCAAAAAGGATGAATCAGAACCAAGAGATGAACAGTTATTCTTGTGAGTATATTAAACGAGAAATCAGATAATTTGCCAAAGCCTCTTCATTTAATTATTTCAGATTGTACCGGCTAAATGGTCACGGGTTAAACAGTTTTTGGTAAACCTGGCCGTGTTAATCCAAGTCATAGATGCGTAAAAATCCGCTCTTAATTGGTCCAGTCTTCTTCACCTATTCACGATCCAACCCGATTTTAGAACATTGGACTTTTTGAGGCTTGTTTGACTCTTGACTTTTAACTTTTATTAAGATAAAAGCTTAAAAAACAGAGAAGACATCGGCAACGATAAGAAATTGCTTTTCTACTTGGAGTGTGACAAATGTAGATTATGTTTTGCGTGTCATATCAACACCACATCATTTTCTGTCACCCTTTCTTTGCTTCTCACCCTAGGAAATGGTTAACTCTGGTTATCCTATTCCTTTCATTTTTAACAGAATTCAAATATACATAAAGAATAGGGAAATCTTCGATAAAATCTCAATATTGTGGATTAGTTTATGTTTTAATCTATTTTTTTAATAGAAAAGTGCCGATTATTTATATTTTCTCCAAACTAACGAAACAATCATTAATTTTTTTTCAACAGAAAATGACAGATTATTGTATAAAATTAGGTAATCAAACACTTATTTGTTCAAAAAATAAATATTGGAATTAAATCATAAAGTGACCCAATATTGCCAATATATTGGGATGTTTATTAAGTAAGAAAATTAAATGGAATGAGTTGGAAATGTGTAAATATTGTCAAAAATGATTAAATGTCAACTTTGAGGCCATGGAATCGATTTTTGGAGACAAGATAAGGAGAAAGGGTAAGAAAGATAAATTGTAATGGATGAAGGCAACTACTTTTAGGAGTTATATCTCAAATTGTAAATAGATTTAGAGGAACCTCCTAAAAGATGACATTTTTATTCTATATAATGAAGGAAACATGGAAAAAATCAAGCGTTTTGGAGTTAAGATTTAGAAGTTATGGCCAAATGAAAATGGCCAAAAGGTGGAAAAATGGATTAGCACTTAAGTTCTTAGGCTAATAACTCGAAACCAATACAGATTTAGCCAAAGGTTAGTAGAAAAAAAATTGTAAAACTCATTTCTAGGTTACCATAGAAAAAAAAAATTGTAAAACTCTTATATTGTATGTAAAAGTTATGGCTATCACAAGATATGTCAAAACTGTAACACCCCAATTTTCAGGTATTTTCAAATTCATCCACATGTTTTTATTCATGACATTTTGGTCCTTGTATTAGAAGGAAGTAGCCATGAGAAGCCTAAGTGGCAAGATTGTAATTTTGGCGCATGAGGAGTACGCTAAGCGTACATGTGGGTAAGTTGAGCGTACTAGGGCGCACCCTACTACGTTGGTTGTACACATATGTTTGTTGGGCATACACATATGTACGTTGGGCGTAGTCATGTCCGAAAGAAACCCTAAGTTTTAGTGTTTTGGGGTATTAAAGCATCATTATGGCTCATTTATCCCCACCTTTTCAGCCTCCAAATCCTTAGAGTCGTCCCTTGAAAACCCCCTAGCCTCTCAAGAGTTTGTTTGAGTTACAAAATGTGTTTTGGTGTGCTTAAGGAAGAAAGTGTTGCATCAAGGAGCATAAGAGTGGAAGCAAGCTTGTGGATCTTGGATCATTACCTTTTTAAGAAGCTCAAGAAAGCAAAAAGTCTTCACCTTGATGCCTTGATTGTTTGGAACTTATTTTGGGAACTTTATGTTGTACTTCTTGTCTCAAAAGTTCCATTTTTATGCATGTTTAGTTTTAGACGTTTTGAGCTGTCCTTCCAGGCCCTAGGAAGGGTCTTAAGCCATAATAATGAGGTCCCTTTAGCTAGTTTGGCTCCATGCATGTTATAGAAGGTCTTAATGGATTAAGACCTTGTGTTAAGGACTTTATGGACGTGTAAACTCATAACTTTGAAAACTTTATTACCATAGTATGCCTCTAGACCTTAGATCTAAAGTATGAGCTTAAGTGCTGAAGCCATTAAGCACTTAATGAAGAATTTGGGGTTACGAGGTTACGCCCCGCATACCTTGTCAGCCACCCCAATAGTGGTCTTCTGCGCAACCTCGTATACACTGAGTGTACCTTCGGAGTACACCCTGCGTAATCACATGGGTCATCCCATGTTGAGTTAAATCGGTTGGGTTGACTAGGCTGGGTTGACTCAGTGGGTTTATTGATTTTGACTAGTTGACTTTGAGTTTGACCAAGTTTGACTTTGGAGGTATTTTGGGATTTTATTACTTATGATTTATTAATATATCATAAATTCTAATATATTAATATGATATCATATTATTTAATTAATATTCATCAAGAATTGATTTGGAATTAATTATGATATCAAAAGAGACTAATTAAATATATGGGGATTGATTTGTTAAATCAATGATTCTTATAGTGTGGGCCAATTGTTATTTAGGATTGGCTAAACCAATATGGTAGTCCATGGAGGTTTAACCCATGGAGCCTAAGTAATATGAAAGGTCATGGACATTAGGGTTTGCATGGATGTAACCCTAGACTTTGGCACATTATAAAAGGACTCCCTTAGCACCCAAAATCGAGTTCTTGAAGTTCATTAGAGCCGATTTTGGAGCTAGCAACATCTCTCTTAAGTTCTCTTTTGTCCTAGGTGTGTTGTGAACTGTTTGAGGCATCACATTTGGGGTGCTAAGTTCTTAAAGGCCAAATACAACAAATTCTACAAGCTACATAAAGAGGTAAACTCCTAACTAGTATTTTATGTTGTTTATGTCCATTGTATGCTGGTTGAAAGCTTAATGCTTTGGAAACAATATTGCATGTATAATTAGAGAAAACATAGATCCAAAGCATTTAGGGTTGTATGTGCACCATAGGATGTTGTAGTATACTAAAACCCAACAATGGTATCAAAGCTATGGGTTGTTTTCTGTTATATTGATGCAAATGTTTGATTTTCAAAATTGGAAAAAAAAAACATGAAGTTTGTCAAATTTTAAGATAATTACTTGATTTTATGAACAACTAATTATTTGTAAAATTTGAGTCGTTGTACTACATAGTTGAATTAGGTCAATTTATTAAAAGATAGAATTATATGATTATTTTATTTTTTAAAAAGTTTGACCTAAATGTTTTTAAGGAGTTACAAATTTTGTCATAAAGTTTTGGAATCTAAAAGTCTTTTTTTAAAGTTATGATCTTAAGAGTTTTGAAACTTCCATAAGTTTTGGATGTGAAAAGTCTCATTCATTAACTCTTTAAGTTATGAATTCCAAGAGTGTTATAAGATTTGTTATAAATGACTTTGAAGAGTTTCATAACTTGCCCTCAAGTTATGGAACTTGGAAAGTCTCTTTTATGGAATTTTAAAAGTTTTCAAGAGTTACAAAACTTGCCCTCAAGTTTTGGAATTTGAAATTTTTTTATGAGACACTGAATTCTAAAACTAAAACTATTTGAAAAGTTTCAAAAGTGTAACTCATGGGTTCATAACTTCATAATAAATTAAATAGTTTTAATTTTGTTTTAGCATCTTGATGTTTTGAATAATTCATATTACATCTTTATGGACTTTATTAATAGTTAATTAAGGTGTTTAATTAAAAGGGAATTAATAATTCCATAATAACATGGTCTAAGTTTAATTAAATTAAGAGTATGGTTTAATTAATAGATTAAACTACTTAGTATTTTAAAAGTTTAAAATACACCCTTATACCATTATAATATTAAAAGCTTAATATATTATATGTATAAGTAAAAAGTCGTTCTTACCATTAGTAGGCCTCATTCACGAAGCCGGTATATAAGAGGGTATAAGGTTATTACCTATAAAATGACGGTTCAATGTGAAACAATTGGTAAAATTGGTCTGAGTTCGGCGGACAAACCACCGCAAACCACTATGTATTATTGACCAATCGTATGTAATATTAAGTTTATAATGTATATTGAATATATCGTATTTATAAATTCTTTTGGAACATCTTAAGCTAATCAAATCATCCATTGTTGAAGATCGAATCAAAAACCGCCAAAAATTTGATTTAATTGTGACGTTAAAAATAAATTATTGCATTAATTATATCTGAGAGTCATGGATAATATATTTTAATATATTATGTTCTCTTGATTTCATGGATATAAAGAATATCCAAAACGAAAGTTATATAAGAAAGTTATGTTCATTTTGAGTTACAAAAATCAATATTTATCTGATTTTCCGAAAATGAACCGTGCACTGCCTCGTTTAGAATAGCTACGAGACTTTTAAACTGTTTTTCATCACGTTTTCAAATTCAGGATATGGCATAATATTTTATTAGATTTTTATTAAATTTTTAATCAAGTCCAAAAACATATTCATAAATTTTTTTCGAATTCGAACCAATTAATCTCGAAACTTTAAACGTAAATTCATGGAGTTTGGTAAATCGAAATTGAGTTCCGTCTACGTTTTTGGAATCACCACGAAAAGTACAATCAACAGGTAGTTTCATAGAACTATTATGGGTTCGGGATTGATGGCACAAGAATCGAAAATCAAAAACAACATTACAAAATAAATATATAATTAATTAAGTAAAATACATATTAATTGATTTTGCATCTAATACCTTTCAAAATATGATTTCTTGTACAAACACAATCATTCACGATCTACAAGGATCTTTGCAAAATCAGATTTATATGATTTTATTTTCAAAGCAAATCTCTAAAATTTGTAGTCCTTCTCATGTTCTTGGATACCACCGGCAAGGGAAGAAGAACCGGTGGCTGCCACCGTCTACAACCCTTCGGATCACAGGAGAAAGAGGCAATACCTCTCCTTTCCCTTCTTTTGCTTCGTCCAACACCACCAAAAATTTCCGAACAATAATTTCAGACAGCAGCAACCCGAAACACCATCTGAAAGACTGCTGCTACTAACCTTCATTCTCCAAATTGCTGCCAAGAAACACATCTGAGGTGTGTTGATTTCCGGTGGAAACAAGGAAGTAACCTCTTTTCTTCCTTCTTTCCTGTCGAGTACCACCAAACACCCTCTGTAAATCGTTGATGCCTTCCCCTTTACTTCCCTGTCAAATGATCCAAAAACATACATCCATTTGAGTACACCATCGATTCCCTATCAAATACTAAACAATCCCAGATAGGTATCTTTTATCCCCCATCAATTCCTGTCAATTACAGCAACCAAAACACCCTAAAAATCGACTGTCTTACCTTTCTTCTTCCTGATTGGCCAGTGCACACCTAGAAGCACCACCGGAGATGATCGCCCCTGCCTTCCCTCATCAACGACTGTAGCAGCTGATCATTCCACCGATTCCTTGCTGCATGCGACAAAAAAGAAACCACTATGGGTTCATCGGAGATGTCGACTGCAACCCCATACATCGATGAAGCAACACTAAAATCCCCTTTCCCCACTGCTTCGTCTCTTTCTTCTCGTCCGAGGTCACAACTGCCTCGCTGCTTCTCCCTTTGTTCTTCGGTCTAGTCGAACCCCGGATATGAACCTTCTCACGGTCGATCGACGAAGTTGTGCCTGCGAGCCTTCGTATTATTCCCCTCTCACGGTGTTCGTCCATTGCCTTCGTTCCCGTTCCTTCTCCATTGTCCCTTTGAAGACGACGCCCCTTTGTGATGTTGGAGCCTTTTTTATCGACTGTATCGGGACTTCAAACAGAAATCGGGTTTCAATTTTGACCCAGCCAAAAGTCAAGGGCAACTCAAAACATGTATTTAAATTAAACAAAACTAACCCTCACTTGGAAATGCCTTATCAAATCAGTTCCAATCCATAAACAAGGATTCCATTATTCAAAATCAACCCCTCATTTGGTATTTTTCTTACCAAAACAGTCCTAACCATCTAATTAAATTACCAAAAAGCCTATATACTTTAGCAAAATTGCAAATCAGTCCCCGATAGTTCCAATTTGTTACGAAATGGACTCGAAAATATTTCATAATTCAAGAATTGTGGATTTGCGGTTTCCCACATCAAACTTCTCAAGAAACCGAATTCGAACGATTGCAACTCACGCTTCAAGGGTGAGTTTCTATGGCCCCTCTTTTATCGTTTTAATATTTTGGGGGAGAATATATGGGTGTATATTAAAGTTTGATGATTTTCAAGTGTTATATACAAAATAACATCATACTTTGTATTGATCAAACGTTTATGAAATAGCAATCTAAAAATATGATAAATCACTAGCAAATATATTAAGTTAAAGTAGATTGTTATAAGTTGATATAATTATACTTTAGATGAAATATGAATATAATTATTAAGAAAAATCACAACACTATAAGTAAATTGATATAATTACACAAGTGGATATTATGAGTCACAAAAATATGACTCTACATGTATAAGATAAAGTATCTCATGGAAGCATGGAACGATATGATAATGACCAAAAAATATTATTCGTGTTTTAAATGAAAGTATATGGTCATAATTGATGGAAGATTAAATTCATGAAATGATATAATTATCAGTTAAAATCATAAGATTTAACTTTAATATATATATATATATATATATATATATATATATATATATATATATATATATATATATATATATATATATATATATATATAGAGGTGTGTGTAAAAAGGAATTGAGAAGTTATTAATATATTTTTATATTAATTATAACAATATAACTTCATTATATTAGTTATTTATTTTTATCGCAATAAATAACATAATCGACTTCAGGATTTAAAAGTCGTTATTTACGAAATAAATACTTGTCGAGTATTGGATTTAAAGACTTCATCTTTAATCAAAATTAAATGTATTTGAATATTATCACATAAATTATATAAAATATGGGGAATGTAGATTTACGGTCGATCCAAACTTGGATAAATTCAAATTTTAGCTGTTATGCTAACACGACATCGAAACCGTATGATAATTCTTGAAATTATAAAAAGTTATGTTATCGTTTTTCTAAATGGTGAATAATTTTACATTTCTAGTGAATTTAGAATGGAAGATATAAGTTTATCATACCTACTTCATATAGGTTTATATTACCTATTCTATATAGGTTTATCATACCTATTCCATATAGGTTTATCATACCTACTTCATATAGATTTATCATACCTATTTCGTATATTCCATATAGGTTTATCATACGTATTCCATATAGGTTCATCCTACCTATTTCATATATTCCATATAGGTTTATTATACCTATTCCGTATAGGTTCATCATACACATTCCATATAGGTTTATCATACCTATTCTGAATACCAGATCCAATACGATATAGTATCTGTTATAAACTATTCCCGGTTTCGCGAAAGCTAAAATCTCAATACTCAATAGAAACTATCCAATTTATAACCGTTAATCCTCTATGAAATGACTAACGTCGGGTGTAAGTGTCATATTATTGATCTTATATGGTACGACCGCCCGCATGGAGTTGCTAACTACAACTATGTCTGACGAGATTAATTTTGGCGCTGACGTTAGCATTATTGAACATTACCACGTGTTACAACGGGGTGAATGACTTTAGCATGCCCTATTATGGTGTTAGTGCAATTATAAAGTACAGTGTCACGAGTTCAACTATTGGATTTATAAAATCTCAGTATTGTTTCGTTACCGTATTGAATCTTAGTTTTGTTCCGTTACCGTATAGAATCGATATTGGATTTATACGGGGTTTATGTTCACTAATTCTAGTTGAAAGAAATTGTATTTAGTGGGATAGCTTGTGACTCAAAGCGATAAGTGTCAATGCCAAAAATTAAGTCATATAACACTAAGTTAAGATCATGACATGACTCGACAAGATTTATTAACTTACATAAAATAAGTTATTTATGTAAACCAATTATTTTTATAAGAAAACACAATATTTATGTGGGAGGAGTTTGCCCCACCAGTTAAGTGTCGGTTCCCAAATTAAGTAAAATAATACTTAATTATTGACACGACATGAATTTACAAAGTTCGTAAATTTGAAAACTTATGAGTTTTACATATAAACTATACAAACATTTGTATAATATGTCTATAGTAAAGTTAGCCACTTCATGTTTTCACAAGATAGGGATATAAATTTATTTTATATAAATTGGCACTCAAAATCCTTTTATAAAAACTTTTTGGTCATGGGAACAATATAAATTTTGATATAGGTTTTGAGTTACTGATATGTATTTTTCAACTTTTGTACATTTGGATTTCAAAAAATGGTACTTATGAACGAGTCGAAACACAATTTTACAACTCAGTTATTTTATACTTTTGACAGAAAAGTAAATATTTATAATGTTGGTCAACCAGCTAAATTTTATAAAACATTTTTTGTTATAAAAATACATTGTGTCAAAACTTGTAGAACTCACCAACAATTTTGTTGACGTATTTTAATGCATGTATTCTCAGGTTATTTAGCTGTTTGAATGTGTTCGCTCAAAAGACTCTATTATTTATATTAAATCTTTGTAAACGCCGGATTGATAAGTGTGTGTCACAATTTAGCAATAGTCATTGTCAATGTAATTTCTATTTCAATAATAATAGAATATTATATTTGTGCTGTTCAATGTATGTTTAATAACTGTGATTACTTATTTACGTCGCGCACCTCAGCGTTTCCGCCGGCGGTGCAGGGTGTAACATAATGAGTGTGCACTCTCACCCTCCGCTACATTGACTGGTGGAGGGTCGTTAGCCGAACGGGTAAGATAGGACATTAATGCTAATTAAAAGTATAATGAAAATACCAAGTAACTAAACACTTAAAAATTCCCAATCTTAGTTACTTACAAAAAATGTGAATTTGGTGCTAACCTATGAAATTGCACTTTGAACCTTGTTAAGTCGTTAGAGAAGCGTTTGTGGTTAATCGACACACTAATATGGGACCGACAGTGTGTGACAATGGGTAGCTTGATGTTAATCATAGATCAATGGAGTTTGTGTGGTTAACCGACACATTGATTAGGTGATTTGTAACATTGGGTGTACCAAGCTAATTTACATGGTTATTCACACCTTGTTTGTGATCCTCGGCTTCCCAGTCACAAAGTGGAAGGGCACAATCGAGATTTAAACATGCCATTAAAAGTTCAATGAATCTTAAAGAATCTAGGAGTTTCAAACCAATTAAAACTTAATAATCAATTTCGTTTTTCATGATGAAAATTGGTAAATCGTCATTTACCTACCTTCAAATATTTTACAATTGGATTACGACATCTCTCTTCCGAATTGTAGAATATTGTGTTGGGTCCTAGCCTTAATATTTCATTTTGGGTGTTATATTAAGGACTTAAATCAACTAAATGTGAATTTCTCCCTGTAGATGTCTAATTTTGACAACTATGGTCTTCCCGAATCTTTTAGAAAAAGCTTTCCTTGTGAAGATGATGTTCCCCGAAATCATACTTCATTTCCTCCACCTCGCCCAATAAATCTCCCTGGCCCACATGTTTGAAGACTTGAAAAGTTCAAGGTCACTCAAGCCCGTTTGGCAAGAATACATGAAGATGGAAGGTCTGTGTGTGCACATGTCTTGGAGATCAAGTCATACATTGACATGCTAAGAATGTTGGATGTCGTTGTTTCACGGAAGTTGGCGGCTGTTGACTTGGTTCTTCAATCACTTCTTAAGTCATATAGCGGGTTCTTCAAGGACTACTATATGGGAGATCATAACATGACCCTTATTGATCTTACCTATTTTCTTATTGCTGCTGAATCAGAAATAATTTGGCACACTGGTAAAACAAAGTTGATTGGAAGATGTACTTCCCAAATTTCCTTGGACAACCGTGACAATCCAGAAATGATTTCTTCTCCTAGGAGAGGGAAATTGGCTAAAGTAAAAAAGGTTGAACTTAAGAGAAGGCCATTTATGGGATTGTCTCATCTGCTGATTCGAAAGAAACCATTTGTTTCGGCTGCTATTTATAGGGACATTGGAAGCGAAGCTGCCCTGACTACTTGAGAAATCTAAGAGATGGTAAATGCAAAATGTTTGACCCTACTTCAGCTAAGTCCACTGTATAAATCTATTAAGTTCCTATTTTGAGACATACATGGTGTAATGTAATTACATTTTGATGTTTTGTAGAATCGAAGAAAAGAAAGGAAGCTTAAAGGAAGATTAAGTTGATTCTGATCTCGAAGAGATAGATTTCGATCGTATGGCTCGATGATTAGAATTTTGAACTGTTTCTTAAGAGTTATGATAGATTGCTTTAGAATAGATAACAATGTAGTTTTCATTTGTATTTACATTGCAAGGACAAGTTTTTTCGCACTTTTATAAATAAACAAAAATTTTAAAGTTTATCTTATTTTAAATTTCCTTACAATGACATTTGTGAAAAATTGTTGCTTATATGTTTCCACTGATAGCAATATTCGAAAATGGAATTGATTCTTTTGTTTGTGGTAGTGTCAGAATTTACCAAATAAGGAAATATTCTCATCACCCAAGTTTCAATTGTCCAAAAACTTGGGATCGTGCAACTTGTATTGTGTGATGAATGAGAACCTTCATCTTTGGGAAATTAATACTAATTCATTGTTCACATG